CAGTAGTAGTAGTAGTAGTAGTAGTAGTAGTAGTAGTAGTAGGGTCACCCGTCGTCTGTGGCCGGCCTGTTTATGGCCTGTAGTTTGGTTGGGTTTCTATGCGGGTGTACGAAAACCCGATATAAACTTCGCTTTCTTCACACTTGACCTATGGCCGGCACGCTGTGAGGAATCCTAAGGAATTCTTAGGGAATCTTCAGGAATTCTCCAGGAAACCTCAGGAATCCCTAAGGAATCCGAAGGAATTCGTAAGGAATCCGAAGGGATTCCAGAGGAGTCCCGAGGAATTCGTCCGGAATCCTAATGGATCCCTGAGGAGTCCTGAGGGATTCTCCAGGAATCCGAAGGACATCTCTTGGAATCCTAAGGGATTCTTCAGGATTCCAAAGGAAGCCTGCAGGAAACCTAAGGATTTTTCCAGGAAGCTTCCAGGAATCCAAAGGAATCCGAGGGAATCCTGAAGGAATCTTAGGGAAATCCAGAGGAATCCTTGGGAATTGGAATCCCAAGGAAGCCTCCAGGAAACCTAAGGAATTTGCACAAATCTTCAGGAAGTCTCGAGGATTCCAAAGGAATTCTTGAGGAATCCTAAGGAATGCCGGAGGAACCCATTGGAATTCTTCAGTAATCCCAAGGAATTCGTAAGGATTCCTTCGGGATTCTCCAAGAATCCTAAGGAAGTCTCCAGGAATCCTAAGGGAATCCTAAGGAAGTCTCCAGGAATCCTAAGGAATGCCAGAGGAATCCGAAGGAATGCCAGAGGAATCCTAAGGAAGTTTCGGTGAATCCTAAGGCTTTCTCTGTGAATCCTAAGGACTTACCCCGAAGATTCCTAAGGAAGTCTCGAGGAGTCCTCAGGAATTTTCGGCGGCTTCCAATAGAAAACTAATAAACAATAACAATGGCTTCCAATAGAAAACTAATAGAAACAATTGTTGACGTTTCGCGTATCCCCACCAGCCCATCCAGAAACGATGCTCAGGGCAGTTGAGGTGATCAGGGAAGTCTGGGAGCATGCAGAATAACAGAGGGCGGGGGAAGCTGTCACAGACCCCGAGGGGGGGAGGATGGAATAGGAATCGTCGTCGTCGTCGTCGGAGGAGGAGGAGGAAGAGGAGGAGGAGGAGGAGGATAATGAGGAGGATATGGAGTAGGGCGAGGACGAGGAGGACGAAAAGGAGGAGAAGGAGGAGAAGGAGCAGAGGGAGGAGAAGGAGGAGAAGGATGAAAAAGAGGAGGAGGGGGAGGAGGAGGAGGCGGGAGGAAAAGGAAGAGGTGGTTGAGGAAGAGGAAGAGGAAGAGGACGGCGAACCGAAGAGCCAGAAGCGTCGTGAATGCCTTTTTTTCGGAAATCCTCTTGAGGCTTCTTGGGGGGAGCCTCTTGGAGGCCTCTTGGGCTCCTTTTGGGGACGTCTTGGCGCCTCTTGGGGCGCTCTTGGGGCGCTCTTGGGGGCTGTGGGGGCGCTCTTGGGGCCATCCTGGAGGGAGTCGATCAAACAAGAGGGGAGCCCCACTTAGCCTCCCCCCATCGGGAGCCCCAGAAATCGCCTCTTGGGCCCCTCTTGGGGCGCTCTTGGAGTGCTCTTGGGCGCTTTGGGGGCCGTCTTGGGGCTCTCTTGGGCCTCTCGTGGGGCCCTTTTGGGCCATCTTGGAGCCAGATTGAGGCCTCGGATGTCCATCGGACGCGAAAAGGCGAGAAAGGAAAAAACATCTTCAGGTTTTGGGACGATTTTGGCCTCGTCGGGGCCTCCCTTGGGAGCTCTTTGGCCACTTGGAGTCGTCTTGGGATCGTTTTGGGGCCTCTTGGAGCATCTTGGGAGCCATCGTGAGCGATCTTGCGCTATCTTGAGCCATCTTGGAGCTCATCTTGGGCTCTCTGAGGCGCTTTTGAAGCCATCTTTGGCCATATTGGACGCTCCAACGTGCCGCGGCCCCCCCCGTCCAGGTCTAGGGAAGGGGGTTTGGGGAGGGATAACCCCCTCCCCAAGGGGGAAGAGGGATGGGTGGAAGAGGATCTGCTCTAGACCACCTACGCCCAGAGGGATGGTGGGATTGGTGTCTAATAGAGAACTAAATTAAACCGGTGGTTTCGAATAGAAAACTAATTAACACCATTGCCCCCAATAGAAAACTAATTGAAACCATTGGTTCCCAATAGAAAACTAATTAAAACAATCGGTTTCCAATAGAAAACTAATAAAAAAAAACCATGGGTCCCCAATAGAAAACTAATTAAAACCATTGGTTTCCAAAAGAAAACTAATGAAAACCACTGGTTCCCAATCGAAAACTAATTAAAACAATAGGTGTTCAATAGAAAACGAAGCCAAACCATTGGTTTTCAATAGAAAACTAATTAACACAATTGGTTTCCAATAGACCAAACAGAAAACCAAACCCAAACCCAAACCAAAACCCAAACCCAAACCCAAACCCAAACCCAAAACCCAAACCTCACCGGCCATAAGTCCGGTGTGACCCTAGTAGTAGTAGTAGTAGT